TGGGGCCTGTCTGTGTGTGTGTATGTGTGTGTGTGTTAAATTGCCAGCAGGTGGCAGGCAAGGCCCAGGAGCGTGTGGGGGAGCACAAGGGCCAGCAGGTAGAGCTGGGGGCGGGGGAACACATAGAGACACCCTCTCTTAGAGCCCTACCAGAAGGGGGTGCCCTCTGGTCCACTAAAAGGATTTGAGGGCTGGCACTGGCCATGTGGTAAATTGAGTATGAGACCCCTGTCTTAGACTGTAGGCTTTTTGAGGCAGGGAAGAGCTCTCTTTCTCTGTGTTGTACCTTGCATAGTACAATGGGGCCCTGATCTGAGCTGGGGTCTCTCTAGAGAAGTTACAGCAATACAGATAATAACAATAATTACTCTTGTCAAAGAAGACTTTTTAATGTCGCCTATTTTGAAAAGCACAGGAGGGGGAAAAGGTTCCCAAATGGAAAACGTCAACATCTAAAGGAAATCACACTGACTACCTTTAGTTTAAAAATATTAAAATGATAAAAAATGACTTGAAAGTGTCGCTTAAGCTTTTAATTAATTCAAAGTTAGTTCTCTTTTAGCGTGAGGTAAATCTTGTGGTTCCAAAAGTGCTAGCGCTAATTGCTTTCTCTGTGTGCTTTCCTGTGTAATCCATATTAGATCTCTTCTGTGAACTAATCATAAACATCCTCACACACGTTGTTCAGGCAGATGTTAAATATTTCTCAAACGGGGAGCTGTAGGGTGAGGACTCCAAGTCATTTTCTCTTTTCTTTTGTGTCCGTGCTAATAATACTCACCCCCCTTCCCTTTAATAGAAGGTAAAGCAATTTTCCCTCACAAATTCCAAGGCATAGGCAGCTGGAGTTAAGACATGCATTTGTTTAATTGGGTGAACACTGCTTGGTTACTCTGAGTAATAAGTCAAGCTGGCTGTGGAGTAGTTTTAGAAACGTTTTGCATCTTTTCAGGCAGTGAATAAAACATACACTGACTCAGAGAGTCTATTTCTGTAAATCCCTCTTTTCAGGGACTTTGCATGGGATGATGTTAGGTTTGATATACAGCCAAGAGGTGGGACGGGCATATCAGGGAATCAGACTTTTCTAATGAATGCATATGGCCTGAGTAATTACCCCCCACCCCAATTAATTACAAAGTTCAATGGTTTACATTTGACTAGAAAATGGAGTTTATTTCCACTTTGCACCAAACTGGTGGCTTCCTGATCAATTTACTCTGCTGTTTATGAGACATGAGTTTACATTTGTTTGGTCCTTATCTGTCGCATCTATCTGTCTAATCTGTTCATTCTCACTGCATCCAGGTTGACTTCTAACGTAAACATTCCTTTGTCTAAAAGGAGGCTGCTAGTCCCACAGGGAGAATTATTGTGCTAATGTCATCATTCTTTTTTACTATAATCTTGACTGTCATGGAGAAAGCCTGGGATCAGAGTCTGGAATCTGCTTTTAAGATCCGGAATCTGATAAGGGATTCCTTGGTTTTACTTCATGGGAGTAATCCCCTCCACATTTTAGGGGACTTGAATTTCCCGGTATGTGTAAAGCCAGATGGCCTTTGAAAATCTCCCTTGTGGTACAAAGGCAGGGTCGCTGCCCTGCTCCCTTTGAAAATCAACTCCCATTGGTGCCTTTGAAAGATCTTACCCAAAGAGAGAATTCCTGGGCCAAAAATGCCTTTAGATCAGGCTGTTCCTGGGATAGATAGTGCCACCCTTCCCTGTGTCATGCGATGGCTTGGAGAATAAAGTAATACTGAGGGTGAGCATGGGGAGCCGGTTAACCGCCCTGCTGCATTGCACCGGGGGCAAGGGAGCCGCCGGGGCAGCCCCATCCCAGGAGCGCGGTACAGTGGGCCCAGCTAGGCTGGAGCAGCCTGGCCAGGCAGGGCGCCAGTGAAACTGGTTACTAGTAAGCATCATCCCATAAGGGTGATGCTTACCAGGGAACCAGTTAACCAGTTACATCCCTACTGGAGTACCCCACTGATTTTGTGAACAAGGAGGTGCGGAACTGAGCCTCATTCAATGAAAGTTTTGACTGATTAAAAAATGTGGCCAGATTCCGCCACATTTGACTCATGCTCAGTCGTACGCTTGTTCCAGGGGCACTCAGAGTGTTACTTCCTACATGGTGCGATTGGCTGTTGCACCGAGTGTTCACTACTGGACAAATGGAGACGTTCCTGAAGGTCAGCACACAGGAATCTCTCTGTTTAGCTTAGGTACTTATAGGACCTCATTTTTAGTCTCTGAGCACTCCGTAAACATCTTAACGTGGGAGGCAGGTCAGTGTTGTTCTCTCCATGTCACAGACAGGGAACTGAGGCCCAGAGAGACCCAGGCCTGGGTTTTTAAAGGTATTGAGGCACTTAAAACATACACAGATGCTGAATGTTCCACTAGCCATCCCACTACATTTCTAGGCACCTCAGTACCTTCACAGATCTGGCCCTAAGTGACTTGACAAGAGTTATGCTAGAAGTCTGTGGCAGAACAGGGAACTGAACCTAGGTCTTCTAAATCCTTAGGCTAGTGTCCGACCCCTCAACTCCATCCTGCCCATAAGCAGGTGGGTGGTGGGGTGCCTGCTATTCCACATGCCCACAGAGTAAACAAGTGGAGGGGGCAGGTGGGCAGGTGGGCAGAGCCAGGCCTAAGGTGCCAATAAGCAGAGTTAAGCCAAGAGAAGGCTGGGGAGGCGTAATTTGCTTCTGATCTAGGTTAGAAGGTATCTAGTCCCCTGTCCACCAAAGGAAGAGGGAACTGGAGTAGGATTCAGGCCCCAGCGAAGTGTGGCGGGGGGGAACAGTCCCTCCCAAAGGCACAATCCAGCACCTCGCTAGAAAAAAACACAGTGAAGCTCAATGATCGCGGAGCCTCCAGTATGGGCCTGAGAGTAACAGACTTTTTAAAATGATGAACTGCAGCCCTTTTCCTGTTCAAGCTGCACACAGCCAGGATCAAGGCAGAATGTTTACGGAGGTAAACATGATTATCCCCAATCACAGCCCCTAATGATGGTTATTATAATGACAGCGATTGTGGGGAAAGGGGGCGTAATTACGTTGATTCTTCTCTTTATTGTACATATAATAATAAGCAATTTCATGCAACAGACAAGGGGGAAGATGGGGCATTTATTTCATTAAGCTCTTCAGTCATTGGCGGTGGGGGGTGGGGGAGGTGGCCAAATCCTGAAGTCTTTATTCAGTCTTTACTCAGGCAAAATTCCCACTCCGCTCCTTGAGAGAGGAACGAGCGAGAATGTTGTTCTGAGTCCAGAAGGCTGAAGCGGAGAATGGGGCCCTGTTGTGTGAGGTGATCTTTAGACTCTGGCCCGCGCTGCAGAAAAATGCTGAGCATTCGTCTAATTCCTTAATTTGGGGGGAAATGTAATTGATGGTTTGTGCCGGCTGTACTCTGTCCTGCTGAGAGAGCTGCAGAGCTGTCTCTTACAAAGGAGCTGGAGGGTCCAGTCGGTCGCTGCGGTGTAGGACGTTCTGAGACAAGCACGCTCTCCCCCCATGCTACACACCCCTTTATTACTTATTTTAAGGGTCTGCTCTTAAGTGGAGTCTCTTCCTTTCCTGTGCACGTGAGTCCATCTCGAGCAGCACCTTTGACATGCCATGGCCTCCTTTGCCTGCCCTGCGCCTTCTCTCCGGTTACACTCAGTTTCTATCCCCGGTAATCCAGTCTAAGTTGCTGTAGATAAGTGACGGCAATAGGGGTGTAAGGGTGTAGCTGTTTAAACTGGTAACCGATAAGCATGAGCATGATAAGCGTGAATTTATCAGTTACCCAACGGCTTCATGTGGCTGCCGGTCTGGCTCTTGGGGAGACACCTGCCGCCCTGCACTGCTGCCTCTGTATCAAAAGCAGAAGTGCAGGGTGGCAGCTGGCTCCCTGCGAGTAGGGTGGCAGGCGAGAGCCAGTGCGCACTGGGAAGGCTCCTGGAATGCACCGGCTCCCAGGGAGCTGGCTGCCATCCCATGTGTAACTGCTCATCAATTACACGCATTTTAACATCCCTAGATAGGAATTTTATACATATAAAATGAGGGAAAGCATTCCGGGCTCAGAGAGCAGAAGAGAAGGTGATTTTGTTTTAACTCCAACTAAATCAACCCAGCCAGGGCTTTGTCAAGCCAAGACTTAAAAACCTCTAGGGATGGAGATTCCACCACCTCCTTACGTAACCCATCCCAGTGCTTCACCAGCCTCCAAGGGAAATAGTTTTTCCTAATATCCAACCTAGACCTCCCCCACTGTAACTTGAGACCATTTCTTCTTGTTCTGCCATCTATCACCACTGTGAACAGCCTCTCTCCATCTTCTTTGGAACCTCCCTTCAGGAAGTTGAAGGCTGCTATCAAATCCCCCCTCGCTCTTCTCTTCTGCAGACTAAACAAACCCAAATCCCTCAGCCTCTCCTCATAGGTCATGCGCTCCAGCCCCCTAATCATTTTGGTCGCCCTCCGCTGGATTCTCTCCAATGCGTCCACATCCTTTCTATAGTGGGGGGGCCCAGAACTGGACACAGTATTCTAGATGTGGTCTCACTGGAGCTGAATAAAGGGGAAGTTGGTGTGGTGTTTTAGATGCTGCTTGCAATTATTAGAACTGGGAGCACTGGCTGTTGGGAGTCTGGAAGCACAGGAAACAGGTAGGAGGGGAGAGAAGATTAGCCTGGGGCTGAGTGAGAGCTACAGAGGGGTGCAGAAGCTTTGTAAAGAGGTTTCACTTTTGGTAAATAAAGTCCTGTTGAAGTTTGTTAGTACCTTGCTTGCATGATACAACAGTTAGCATCTGGCTTCTTAAGGGGGCTAGGCCTTAAGGCCAGGAGGGCCACAGAGAAGTCCTCCAGGAGGCTAGAGTGTCTGTGGAGGAACCAGCCAATCAGGAGCCAGGAGGGACTATATAAGAAGCTGGAGGCCTAGCACCAGGTCAGTTGCAGCCCAGACCTGGAAGGGAGACGGTCCAAGGGGCTGGTTGGGAGAACTGAGGGTAGCTCAGAGTAGGGGGCTGTTAGAGCACTGTCTCCAGCAGGAGAAGCCCGGAACGCCCCACTCTCCTACTGAGTGGGGAAACAGATTGAAAGACTGGATTTAAAGAGACACTTTACAGAGGGCACCAGGATGGGCCCCAGTTAGAGATGTACCTTGGATGGGCTTTGTGATTTCACACAAGGCTATGTGACTCAGCTGGAGGGCTGAGTAGCTGCAAGGCTTTTTAGAACTGGGGCAGTGCAGGAACCCGCACTTGGCCAAATGGAGGCCTACACAGTAGGTGAGTGCCGACCCTGATACAGGCTGACAGGAGTGTTCCGAGTTGGGTTTGGCTAATGGCCTGTTTCGTTCCCTAGTGTTTGTGTATAAAGTGTGGTGGGCCTGAGTGGAGCGACTCAATAAGGTGTTCCTGTCACTCGTGTTGGCAGCATGAACGTTGGCCTGATACTTGTAGCTTATGGTTTTGTAGCAGAAGTTAGCTGAAAAGTACCAGCTTAGTCGTTACGTGGTCACTATGGTATCTATGAGCATGGCAGTAGGATCTTTTCTGCATCCAGGGAATTTGCAGCAATGTAACCACATCAGTGGAGTCCCTGAAGACGAAATCCCCTTCTCCATTCTAGAAGGGGACTTTCCAGGACCGGGTTGAGGCTAGGGATGCAAACATCCAGGGCTTATCAGTTAAAGATTTATTAACTTGATTTGGTCTGCTTTTTTAGTGTACTTTGTCTTACGTGGAGCGTGACACTGAATGGAAATACCCTCCAGAGAGGAGCATTTAAAATCTGTGGCAAACCTCCCATTGACATTAGGGATGTAAGAGACTAGTTGCTTCCCCCACCCCTTGCCGCCTCTGTCAGAGAGAGGGGATGGGGTTCAGGATCCGGTGCTGTGGGGAGCCAGCTTAAAAGCCGGTTCCCTCCAGCACTCTTTCTGCGGGGAGGCAGGGGATGTAGAGGCACAGCGGGAGCAGTTCTGAAGCAGTCTCCGATTGCACCACTTCTGCTGCGATTCTGCTTTGGAAATGTACAAGAGTCCCCCCCAGGGCTTCCAGTGAGATTGTACATGCCGCCTGCAGCTAGCAACCTACAGAAAACTGTAGAATGTGCAGATGGACGAGGCATGTTGGAAGTTCTGGTACCTTCCTGGAACTGCAGGATTGTTTGACTGCATGTCTCCTTGTGCTTGAAAGCAGGCTTTGATGAATGTCCCACATGAGGAGGCCTTCCCCACAGCTCTTGGGAGACTGTTATGAAATAATTGCTGGGAAGGCTTTTCCTGATACTCATCTTAAATGTTCCTTTTCTCAGTGTCTTGACAGTACCTCTAGTGATCCTTCCTCTTAACTCTCCTAATATATTTCCTAGCCACGGTGTTTACACCCTTCAAATGTTTATATTAGGACACCTATTCTTTCACCTTTTACACTTCAGGTCTGCATGTAAACCAGTGTGTCTTAAACTTTCTGAGACCACTGAACACCAAACCATAATATTTTTATATGTAGACCCCCCCTATGAAAATTTTCTTCAAAAAAAAAAATCAGACGAAAAGACAAAAATAAAGAAGAGGTTGTGGCACACCTGCAAATTGTTCATGGAACACCAGCGTTCTGAGGAACACAGTTTAAGAAACGCTGATGTAAATGCTTCCTTTGGGCTGTTCTCAAGTGCTGGCCCATTTCCACCTTTCCTTTGAGTCTGTAATCACCACTGTGTTGCAAATGATAGCCTAAAAAGGTGTGCTGGACTCAATGAAGCATGAAATACAAAGGACATAATGTTTAGAGACACTGAGAAAATTAGTATGTATCTTCATGATGTGGATTTGCTTTGTATGGTTAGCAATGCTATGTTAACGCATGTTTTAAGGATGTCAATTAGTGTAATGGGCTTGCATGAGAAGGGCTGTGGGTGTTTTTTTGTGCCTTTTGGCTAAGATCATGTTGACTAGCTCAGCTGGCTAGAATGTGGTGCTAATAACACCAAGATTGTGGCTGTGTCTAGACTGGCCAGTTTTTCCGGAAAATCAGCCGCTTTTCTGGGAAAACTTGCCAGCTCTCTACACTAGCCGCTTGAATTTCCGCAAAAGCACTGACTTCCTACTGTAAGAAATCAGTGCTTCTTGTGGAAATACTATTCTGCTCCCGTTCAGGCAAAAGTCCCTTTTGTGCAAAGCTGTTGCGCAAGAGGGCCAGTGTAGACAGCTCAGATTTGTTTTGCGCAAAAAAGCCCCGATCGCGAAAATGGCGATCGGGGCTTTTTTGCGGAAAAGCGCGTCTAGATTGGCACGGACGCTTTTCCGCAAAAAGTGCTTTTGCGGAAAAGTGTCCATGCCAATCTAGGCGCTCTGTTCCAAAAATGCTTTTAATGGAAACCTTTTCCGTTAAAAGCATTTCCGGAAAATCATGCCAATCTAGACACAGCCTGTGGGTTTAAGCTTGTGCTGGCCGTTCACTGGGCTCATGGAAGGGGCTTGTTCTCACGTATGTACACTTGTGCTGTTCCATGTCTGACTCTATTAAACTTCCTGTGGGTGGTGTACCTGAAAACACCTATTCTGTACTGCTTCAATCCTCCCACACCTCAATCTGGGACAACACTCATTATGTATCTTGTCAAGGTTGTACCCAAGTCTTGTAGTTCTTGATAACCCACGCTTGATCCTGGATGTACAGTGCCTTTCCTTCTAAACCCGTGTGTAATGTGAACTTGATTTCGAACATTAGCTTTACACACTTTTGGAATCTGCCTCTTTGTGGTGTGAAGTGTGGATTTACTTCGTGTTAGAAACCCCATGTTAACTGATAGTCTAATTATGTCAATTAGTCTAATGGGCTTGCATGAGAGGGTTCGTGTTTCTGCGCCTTCAGGTGGTGAGTTAATATGACCGTGCCTAATTTACTGTTCGTTACCAATGTAATAATGGCATCATGTGACTGCTAAAACACAAGATTGGCCAATGACACATTGATGTATTATGAGGTAAAAGTCAACTGCCATCTAACTCTGCCCTGTAAGAGGTTTCCCTCTGGAGGCCCCGCTAGCTTCCTGGATACAATAAGTTGCCAGGAACGTGCAGCTTGAGGTCATGACCTTCAGGGGCTGTTGTGATAAGTCAGGGGGCTGTGGCCGGCACCCCTTTCTGTAGGGCTAGAGGAGCAGCTGAAACGTTTGGTGCGGGAGAGGTGGAGAATAGCTGGTCTAAAGTAACAGATGCCCATTGTGCGAGTGAATCCTCCTCTTACAGATACTGCCTTGCTGGCTGGGGCTCAGGCAATAGCCGCTCTGGAAGTGGGACAATATGGCTGAGCTTTTCCAAGCCACAAGGGTTTGGTTGTCCATTTGTCATTCGTTTCAGTCCCTTTGCTGGCAACCTTGTTCCAAGATGCGTAGCGGATCCTGGTTTTTCCCCCCACAGCCAGCTCCATGCTGACTCCAGGGAAACCCAGACTCTGAGCTGCATGTGAGCAGGAAGCAGACTTCATTCTGGGGGTCCTTCAGGGTGTCAGAAGCCCTTGACCAACCAAAGTGTGCACACACGCTTCTGCCCACTTCGTAGGAAAGGCACGGTCTGCAAACAACAGAGTGCAGCCTGTTTCCAGACAGGTGTTTTGAATCCCGGCTCTTAGCCAAAGCTTTAACTCTGGAAGTTTCTTGCGGAGTAAGTGACTTTTTTTTGTTTTGTTTTTTTCCCTCTTCCTGGTGTCAGAAGCCCTTGACCAACCAAAGTGTGCACACACGCTTCTGCCCACTTCGTAGGAAAGGCACGGTCTGCAAACAACAGAGTGCAGCCTGTTTCCAGACAGGTGTTTTGAATCCCGGCTCTTAGCCAAAGCTTTAACTCTGGAAGTTTCTTGCGGAGTAAGTGACTTTTTTTTGTTTTGTTTTTTTCCCTCTTCCTC